GTTTTCTTCATTTTGAATCATTTTTGTGTTTAATACTGTTAACGTGTAGTTTTCAATGTGTTTTATTGTTTGATTCCAATTGTATAGACGTATTGGTTTGTTTGTGTATGACTTTTTTTTCTTCGTTTTCCTTTTTTTGATGATGGTGATGTGGTTTCTGAGTCAGAAAATTATAGTTGATCGTCAATTTGATGATTTTTATTTATTGAATCTTTTAAATTGTGAAGTTCTTGTTTTGCGCTTGTTTCTGATTCTGCGACGGCGTTTCTTCGTTTTGAAAATTGTTTTCGAATAATTTATTTTTGTTTGCTTATAATTTTCTTTCTTAGTGTCTGTCTTGTTCTTTCCAAAGCCTAAATTAGATCTTTTGAGTTAAGTATGATTTACTAAACTCATAGAGTAATTTCAGATAAAGTACACCGTCTGCTCGTCACGCTATCTTATTTTCGGCCAGATAGATTCGTGCAACTACTTAAGCCAATACCAATCTTAATCTTACTCTTATATCTCCTAGTCTCAATAGATCTAGAGTATACTGGTTTTATACGAGTCGGTCTCTTTGGAGAAGGCAACTATATTCTAAATTAAATTTAAATCTCTCTGGTGCTGAAACTACAGGTAGTTTCAGCACTTACAAATGGGTGGGTTGTTAGTTTGATGGAGTATGATTGGTTAGTATTCAATATTTTATAGAGATAAAATATCAGAATATTATCCATTAAAAAATTTTAGTTTAGATCTGGTACCACCCATCCGGTGTTTACAGAGTTTTAGTTCTTCAGTGTTCTACTGTAGTGGAGGATGGATGATGGTGTTCTTTTTTAGAGGCTGCGAGCATATTCTTTTTTCCGCTTAGGAAGAAGGGTTGTTATCGGTAGTTCCAGGAAGCTGGAATCGTCGATAAGAATTTTTTCTTAGGTGGTGGCTGTTTGTCATGATTGTTTCGGGAGAAGTTCTTATTTTATGCTTGTTTCTGATTCTGCGACGGCGTTTCTTCGTTTTGAAAATCGTTTTCGAATAAATTATTTTTGTTTGCTTTTAATTTTCTTTCTTAATGTCTGTCTTTTTGTTCTTATGTATCCTATTATTTGTCTGTGTGGTGTGATTACGAGGTCGTATCTTTCGTCGTTAATTATACAGTTGTGTAATATAATTGTTTGTTTGTTACCTAAGTTGTCTTTTGACATAAAGTTTAGAATGATGATGGATGCAAATTGGTATTAGTGATTTTTAATTTCTTAAACTGTTAGTTCTTACAATTTTTCGTGGTTAGCTTAACTTGGGTAATGTATTGTAGGGTTAGGGAGAAAGGTATATATCGATTCGTGAGAGTGATCTTCGCTTTCTCGTGGCTAATTCTAAGTTAAGATAGACTTACCTAATCTTATTTAGGGGCAGTGATTTGTGATCAAGTGTTGGAGAATAGTAAATCAATCCACAAGGTTCAGGTATAATTAGAACGCAAGTAGTTCGTTAGGTATTATTATATGACTTACTAAGGTTAAGTACTATCCTGGGTCAGTTAAGAAGGGGGATCAAGTGAAGGATGATTAACCGAAGTTCTTCACTGTTTATCCTATTTAAAATGGTTAGTTGTTGAAAAATTTCTGTTAATTTTGGGTCTTTAATAAGGGTTGGGTAGTGAATTGACGTTTGAGGTCGTTAGGCACTAATTACTTTGGGAAGGGGAGAACAAAATTGCTCTTTTTGATCCAAGGATACGCCTTGATAATCAGAATATTTAGGTAAACTTAATTTAATTCAAGTGAATTTAAATTAAAGATCCAAGGGAAGCCTTATGCTCTGTTATTTCAAATGAAATTAATTTAAGTGAAAACAAGGATAAGCCTTGATAATTTTTAAGTAAAGGTTTAAATGAAGAAAAAGTTAAGTGTTTAGTTTTGATGATGTTAACGTTTTAAGATTTGCTGTTAAGTTTTAGGTGATGAAGCTGGGATGAAAGAATGATTTATACATACTAACAATTTATGCTTTATACTAACTAATTAGTATAATTATTTAATTTACTGCAGATTTTTGAGGAGAACGAGTAGTGTTATTTTTATCATTCGTTATTGTATAATTAATAGATTTTGCGCCATGAAGGTTATTGAAGATTTTCTTCAAAACTTTATGTCAGTAAATGAAAATTTAAATTTACTGCTGGAAGTATTCTAAATACAAAAAATTGTTCCGGTTTTTATCGTACGATCATGAAATCGATTGGTAGGTTTCTTCCTAATCGTATATCGTGCCTTGTCACAGGTCTTCGTGCAATACCGGGTGTTTCTCGTATTTTTCGGAAACTTGGCTCTGATCTATTGAGTTGTAGAGACGTTTGTACTAAGTTTTTGTCATATAACAATTTTTAAAATGTTCTATTTGTTTAATTCTAATCTAATGTTCTGGTTAATGTTTCTAATCTAGGTTGGTTAAGGTCTTTTTCGAGACTTTTGGTCGCACCAGATGAGCTAAGTAAGATTTACCATTCTCACAGAGTAATTTCAGATAAGGTACACCGTCTGTTCGTCACGCTATCCTATTTTCGGCTGGATAGATTCGTCCACTACTTAGTCCAATACCAATCTTAATCTTACTCTTATATCTCCTAGTCTCAATAGATCTAGAGTATACTGGTTTTATACGAGTCGGTCTCTTTAGAGAAGGCAACTATATTCTAAGTTAAATTCAAATCTCTCTGGTGCTGAAACTACAGGTAGTTTCAGCACCTACAAATAAGTGGGTTGTTAGTTTGATGGAGTATGATTGGTTAGTATTCAATATTTTATAGAGATAAAATATCAGAATAATATCCAATAATAAATTGTAGTTTAGATCTGGCTCCACTTTTGTCATAAATCACAGCCATAACTTTAATTGCGGCGAAGATTTACCTTGGAGAGATTGACCTTGAGCAGCTTCTAGTAACTACCGTAAAAAATCGTAGCGTGTCACTTGTAGAGTTTAACTTCTGCCAAATTCGTAGAAAGAATCTATGGATAATTCTTATACAAAATCCCCGGCAGATCGCTCATCTGCTTGACTTGCAAACTTTCGAGGAGGCAGAGATTTTCATAGTGTTAGTATGTGAGTGTAAGCCATTGCCGGAGGGAGCCTTTGGAACAATTATAAACGTTTTTGGTAAAAGAGCCCTTTTGCAGGCCTGCTCAGCTCTTTTCTGAAGTGCCGAGGTCACCCGGAATCTCGCAGCTGTACTATCCATACGAATTTATATCAGCCGCCGGGACACAAAGGATAGACGCTGAAACGGAGTCGACTGAAGCATTTTCATCAAGCATAACTTAGGAGTAACCGACGCTGGTCTTGAGGCACCAGATATGTTCCCGAAAAACCGGAAAAAAACCGAATGATTATGGAACCCCAATCACAAAAGGAACTTTCTTGACCCTAAGTTTCTATTGTGAAGCTCATGGACAACAACGAAAGAGGGATCCACAAAATAAGATTTGTACTAATCACTCAAATTTAATTCAAGAGGTTTTTTCTATTTGGGATCATCAACCAATTGGATCCCACAGACCTAAAATTCAGCAAATTAATCCATCAAACAAGGTCAAGACTGGAGATCAAGGTAAATTAAATAGATGAGAAAAATGAGAAAAGTATATTGAGCTGCTTGTCAAACGACACCTAGAAAAATGTGAGCAAAAAACTCCTAGACCTGAACTCCTCCGAGTAACCTTTCTCCTGACCATGTAGCCCCACTGAAACTAATTTCCGCAGCACGGAGAAACAGAGAAAGATGAAGAAAAGTGTAACTTGACCCTCAAAAAAACAAGGATAGCCGGTTGCTGTGCAAGTAGCACAAAATGCAATAACCAAACTGATATGCGGAGGATATGCGGAACTGGGCAGCCGTGGTCAATCGAAAGGTCAGATGTTCAAGGCCCACCATGATCCGTGCGCGTTGCTTGAGGGTGAGGCAACAGTACCCAGCCCAGAAAAATAACAAAAAAATGGCATGTAGTTTCTAAACTGGGGCACAACTGTAAAGTTCGTATGTTGGTCCTTGTCCTCGAGGATAAATGGTCTTAAATATGCAAACAAAAACCCAAAATAGCTTAATCTTTGTTTCAAAAATTGAATAAGTTTTTGTTCTGAAATTCCTGTTATTTTACGTTTTTAGAAAAAATCTTCGAATCAAGTCAACATGCAAGAAGTATCGGTAACTGCATTTAAATGAACTTCGAAATTTGGAGGCCAGCGTCTCATGAAAAATTGTCTTATTTAGTCTAAAACACCTACAACCTCCTACCAGTTTTTCTCGACTCCAAGATAATTTGTTTGATTTTTCTAGATTCAGAATCACAACCTTAGGCTCTTCAAAATGATACGACACTTGACACTCGTGTTTTCTTGAGGCCGTCAAAAATGTTGGCAGGAAAAAAGTCGACCTCAATCCAAAATTTCTTTCCACTGTTGGAGTGGTTGGAACAATAAAAACGTGTAGCCATGAAACAAACGTGCTGCTGGGATGATAACGGGTCATAGCCACCCTTCTAGAGAATGGTGCTAAGGGAAAATCAGCTTGAAAGAGATCGATTTGATACACTTCATCAGGGGCGGATTTAGGGGGACGGAGGCTCCTCCCCCTCAGGAATTCGACCCTCTCATCCAGCAAAGGGTCCCCTTTTGGTATTATTTTCTGAAATCCATTTTCGGCGACCAACTTTAAAATTTTTCTCAAGACGCCTTTGGCGCCAAAATATACTAATTTTGAAGAGGAGCGCGCGCCAAAAAACGCAAGTTTTTGGTTTAAAAAACAACAGAAACTTACCTGCTGCACAGAAAATGCTGTCAAAACAAGGTTTTTATGGTAATTTGAGAGCGCTCAGAAAATCTTTTTGGTCGACCTAGCAAAAAATTTCGAAAATCCGCTATCCCCTTATCGTTTTTTTTCTTCGTTCGGCTGATTGCTTGAGTGGTAAGAATCAGAGATAATTATTCTATGATGTTATGAACTATTTGAATACCTATACCTGCGTCATTTTCTGTCAAGTCATCAGCGCATTCTGCTCGTAGTCTCAGGAAGGAACTCAAAATGAAGGTCACAAGTGTGTTGCCATTAGCATAAATCGTAGACATTTCAACTTCCAGCAAGCACTCATCAATGGACTTTAGGAAATCAGATGCCCACTGAATATTTTCCGGTTGCAGAGTGTCGCACGCTCTGTACAGCAACCCTTCTTCCGAGAACTTGCTACGCAAAACTCTTTCGTGTGTATTCATTTTTTCTATATCTGGCCTAAGCCTGTCGTAATTAATGTAAACTTGAAACGAATGTTCCGATGAGCTGGGATACAGTATCAGGAACAAAAAGTCAAAACTGTGCCATTTGAAAACAAGATCCATGCAGTTTTCGAAGCCCGGTGCATCGAAGGCAAAATTTAACGGCAGTAACTCTTCCTTGCTATCGAACATAATTTCAAACAAATCTCCAAGTTTTTTGTCTTTGGACTGGGTTTGAAGGCTCGAGTGGACGTCTATGTCGCAGTTATTAAACAGCGTAAGCTCAGTAGACAAAATTTTCGGAAACTTCAGTAGCTTCCGAATACAGGCAAAAACTAAATCCAAATTACCTATTGCCAATACAGCGTTTAAGACGCCGTTTTCGATCCCGTTTTCTGTAAGAAGAACGGTATATTTTTGTTGAAGATCTGAAGTGATGCTGCCAGTGGAAAGCATTTGGGAAGACTCAAGCGTTTCGAAATCTTTCCTTTGATCAAATTCAGCCAAAATTGTTTTAATGTTAACTGTTGTCATTTGAATTGTTTCCTCACAACACGACATCCTTGCAGGATTCGTACCAAGTCTGGTTAGGAGGTCAAACACGACATTCACAGGAATTTCATTTTTGTTTATTTCTTCGGCAGGGGTTTCTTGTGATTTTATCAACAGATACCGAATGAAGAAATCCAAAAATCTTCTGAAACGAGATTCATATAATGTAAACAATAAAGCTTTATTTGATGACAGGACTTCCTCTAGCATCGTATCTGATTTAAAGCAATTGGTTATTCTGATCGCATCTGATTTATCATATCGAACAAAAATTTCATTAAAAACGTCAATCAGTGAGTAAGATTCAAGAAGTTTGTCATTGAACATGCCTTTTTCTGTCTCAGTGATATCGCAATTGGCAATCCAAGAAATGGGACAATTTTCAGAACTGAAGTGATCCCAGAGATAATGAAAAGGTAGCCCGGCAGCTATCAATGATTTCAATCCAGCGCAAATTTCTTGGTCAGAACAGCCTGACGACATTAACACTGTTACAACTGTGTTTTCTCCATAGCCAAGTGGTTCAATTTGCCAAATTAGACTGGGACTAATTAGATTCTTGAGAAATATCAAAATCCAATCTATATTTTTGTGTTTTCCTGTTTTGCAGGCACTGTACAGCAATCCTTCTTGCCAATTTTGTCTTTTTAGAAAACTCAAATAGTCGTTTTTGTTATTCACATTCAGTGGAACTGATGTGAAGAAACGCAACGAGCATTTGAATGTTATAATGTTAAACTCGCGCCCTGGTGCGCAATCTATTGGGTCTGGGAAGCACGGAAGGGTAAAGCGACAAGCGTAGAAATTATCATCGAGAGTAAATGCATGTTGCAGGAGCTGGTTCAATTCCCAATCCAGAATGCCCACGTTTATTTCTTTCAACATTTCAATGAAATCGCGAACTGTGTCACGGTTCCTGGAATCTATAGCTCGTTCTAAGAATCCTTCTCCCCCAAGACAATTAACGACTAGTCGATCATAATGTTCCTGGCTCAAAATTGATATGATTATTGGCAACTTCATAATTTGAATACATTTTTCAATTTTAAATGTCCTCATGATTTTGAAAACTGCATCAATTCCAATGCATGACTCAATCCAGCTACTTATTTGCTCGAGCACAGCTTTTTCAGATATCCTTCTGGTGGAGATATATCGCAGAAGTTTTTGCAGAACTTGAATTATTTCTTCGTTAGTTGAGTTCATTTGATTGGACAATAACGATGATAGAGATCTGGACCCATATTTGTCAGTGATTTCCAAAGCAATCTTTTCGGTACTGAAGTGTTTGATGATTTGGAGCGAAAAAATTACTTTTTTCACTTTGCAACTTCTTAATGCATGGAAAAATAGGAATAATGGAAACTTGCATTGAATTAGTAAGCTCGCATCATCTGTCCAGAATAGAGAAAATTTGTTGACTCCTGAAACAAGTTTTTTAATGCTCGCAAATGGGACAATTTGAGATTGCAAAAGTTCGTTTATGATATTATACCTTAGTTAGTTCATTGGTATCACTTGATTAACTGCTTTGAAGTGTCCCTTTATGTTTCGACCGTTTGGACAAATTTCAGGTCTGTTTGACTTTCTCTACCAAAAAATTTGCTCGACTTTCCTCGATCGAACTCAATTATGACATGAAATACTGGTCTGATTCTGTTATGCTTGAAACTACTGGTTTAAGTAAGATCATTACAGCTCTTCTTGGTGTATTTTGACCGTGATCAACTTCCTGTTTTTTATATATTTCATTAAAGCTGCAGGTATTCGACCTTGCTCAGTTCACAGATTTACATATGCTTCGATTAACCTCTTGGTATGCTTCAACCGTGCTCAACCCTAGTGGTTAATAAATAATTCGATTTTTGGTTTGTTTCGTTCTTTAACCGTGTTAAACTTATTAGTT